GGTGCCTGATCAGATCAGGGGATGGTTAGAGGGTTCCTGAAGAAATAAGGCCAAAGATGTGTTAACAGTAATATGGAGGAAGTTAAGTGCATTGCATATTTCAGAGGTAGAGATTTCTTTTTTTAACTGAACATAGAATTTGACAAGAAATTAGTAATGGACAGTTAACTTAGAGCTAGTCAGCAGAAGGCCTTTAATGCCTAGTATGAAAGTGGGACTTTATTTGGGGCCTCTTTAATTGAGTATATAAATATTATATTAAAGCCTTTTTATTGAATTGGTGTAACATACATTTTAGAATTGTATGATAATATTTAGAAGGTTAAAAGTATGAACAATTATTGTAATATACCCCCTTCCCCATCCCACCCCAAACACTGGTTTGGTAATTATAGCAATAGATGGAGCAAATGGAAATCTGTCATTAGTCTTAATCATGAGCTATAGTTTCAAGTGGCAAAGTGTGTGCTTAAGAATAGATTTAACATTTGCTCTTATAATTTAAAGGCAGTTCTTAGAGTGGAAAAATAATTTCATCTTATAGAATTCTTTTAAATTGCTTGATTTGAATGAAGAGGACATTAATTGGGAGTTCTGGTTACCCCTCTTTTGAAATGTTTCACTATGAAGAAAAGTGTTTAACAAATATACTGGCAACCTTATATTTTATATGCTGTAACTAACCATACCTATAAGAAAGAAAACTGGAGAGAAGGAAAAGTAGGAGGTTAAAAGGGGAAATAGGTGAAATATGAGGAGAGCAGCAAAGTGGTTCTCTAATTTCTAAATGAGTAACAAGTGCTTTACAAAACAAGATATATCTAAGGTTAAATTTCGGCCTCTGTGCACACACTTTTGTGACCTTTGCAAATTACTTAACCTCTCTGAGCTTCTCAGGCTTTTTTGTAAAATGAGGTTCTATTACAAACTGTTTTGAGTTCCTTTGAAGACTAAGTGAGCAGAAATACAGCTACTTAACTGAGCCCTGACATATAATTTTATTGAGCCCTAAACATTGGTCTAAGACTATACAGGCTTTATCTTCACAATAACCCCCAATTTGTGGCTGAGAAAACTACAACACAAAAATGTTAAGTATATGATCAAGACCACACCAGTAAGTAGCAGCCACAGGATTCTAACCAAGACATTTTGACCTTAAGAACCATTACCATTAATTGTATTTCTTATGTTCTTGTAATCCTCAGGACATACTTTTCCATAAAAAATGTTAGATATTATAATATTATTATAAATTCACAGACTATTAGAATCAATGTGCAAGAATTTCCTATATAGCATCTTTAACAGATTGCAATCTAGCTTCTATGTAAATGCTTCCGGAGACAAGGAATTTTATTAATATTAAGGCAGACTGTCTTAATATTTGTTATTGTTATATAACTCAAAATGTAAAGAATCTCTCTTTATCCTGTGATACAATTTTTGTCCTCACTACTTTTGCCCCTTGGTTCTATTTCTCTGCCCTATGGGAAAATAGTAAATGAACAGCTTTTTTAATAGACAGATGTTAAGTGTTTAGGCAAGAATTTCTCTTTCTCATCCTAGGCTAAACATCATCAACTATCCAACAACACATAGCCATACTATTTTCAATTGAGGGCTTCCTACTCTGTCTGAATACATTCCAGTTCTTTTAAAAAAAAGTGCAAATTTTGTGTTATTTTGATTTCTTAACTGAGTCATCATTTATGTAAAAAGGGGGAAGAAAACTTGTTGAGAGATCTGAATACACTTAACTGTTCCGTCATTGCTACAACGTGCAGTTAATATATGAACTCAACAGAGATATACTTACACTTCCTACAGTGATTACTACTAAACAATGTTTATTGAATATTTACTGTGCACTATGCCCTTTTCTAAGCTCTTTACATATAACGTAATTAATTACAAGAATCATGTGAGATAGATGCTTTTTCACTATTTAACTGATGAGGAAATTGAGGCACAGTGCTGTTTGTTAAGTAACTTACCCCGTTTACATGGTTTGTACTGAATCTCAGCATCAACTGAGATTCGAACCTGGGCACTCTTTAACAACTATAGTACTGTATATATATGTATGTCTTGGCTGCTTTACAAAATACCATAGACTGGGTGACTTGAAAAACAGAAATTTATTTCTCAGAGTTCTAGAGGCTGGGAACTTCAAGATCAAGGTGCTAGCATGGTCAGAGTTCTGGTGACTGTCCTCTTCCTGGTTAGCATGTGGCATCTTCTCACTGTATCCTGACATGACAGAGAGAGACCACCCTCCCTCAATACCTAATTAGTTCCCAAAAGACTCACCTCCAAATACCATCACATTACAGCTTCAACATGTGAATTTTGGGGAACACAAACATTCTTTCCATAACAGTATGTTACGTAGTTCTTTTGTGAGCCTTTCTGAAATCTTAGCTACCATATATATCAGTTTTCTATAAGACTATGTCACTTAGAAAATCAACTTCTGGAGCAGCTCACTTGTAATTTGGGGAATTCAGTTAGAATAGAAACTTTCTTGATGAATTCCAGCTAATAACTGTGACTTTGCCTCTTTCCTAATGTGTAAAATGTGGATCACGTCTGTCTCAGAAGGTTATTTTAAGTATTAATATACATACATACACATACATATGGTTGTGTGTATATAATTAAACTGTCATATATGTAAGTTTGCCTACATACACACAGGTTAGTATAGTTGTTTACAAGGTTTTTAAATGGCAAAAGCCCCGTAGCACAGCAATTATTAAGGTAGGCTTTGGAATGGAACTCAATTAGTAGATGTTTGACCTAGAGCAAGTTTCTTAATCTCTCTGTGCCCTAGTTTTCTTTTCTGCAATATTGGTGTAATGTTCCTCATAGGCTGCACATGAGGATTAATGGATTTATAAGGCACTTAGATCAGGACTTTACATCTTGTAAAGTAGTATATTAATGATGAAATAATATTATATTACATCAGTATTTAGGGTAGCACCTGTATTTTTGTAAGTAATGAACAAATTGTGTTTAAATGTTTCTGAACTAGTGAATTTTTTTTAAAGGAGTATAAAATCAAATATGAAACATACTCATTCATTAAAATCAGTAAGTCTCATCGTCATTTATTGTAGAGGAGAGAATGAAACCCTGAAGCACAAAGGTTAAGTAACTTGCAGTTTAGACAGTTGTCCAGTGGTTACCAAGTTACTTATAACCAAACCACCAAATCAGGTCTGGTACCCTAGTCTGTCTGTCTTTTTCTTTTTTTT